CTCATCACTGACAGGGGAGCTACCACACAACAATGCCGTGATTATTTTTTGTAGGCCGAGGATCATGCTCCACATCACTACAGTTGTCTAAGCCAAAAACTTCAAGATTGCTGTATCTGAAAACATCAAAATGGAAATAAAATTAATATTTACTATTTACAGTGTAGCACAAAAAATGTGCTATACAGTGTGTGTGTGTGTGTGTGTGTGTGTGTGTGTGTGTGTGTGTGTGTGTGTGTGTGTGTGTGTGTGTGTGTGTGTGTGTGTGTGTGTGTGTGCGCGCCCATTTGTGTGTGTGTGTGTATGAGCGCATTTGTGTGTGCGTGTGTTTGTGTGTGTATGTGTTTGTGTGTGCGTGTGTTTGTGTATGCATGTGTTTGTGTGTGCGTGTGTTTGTGTGTGTGGATGTTTGTGTGTTTGTGTGTGTGTGTGTGTGTGTGTGTGTGTGTGTGTGTGTGTGTGTGTGTGTGTGTGTGTGTGTGTGTGTGTGTGTGTGTGTGTGTGTGTGTGTGTGTATGTATTTGTGTGTGTGTATGTGTTTGTTTGTGTTTGTTTGTGTATGTGTGTGTGTGTGTGTGTGTGTGTGTTTGTGTGTGTGTGCGCACCCACACAATCTTAACCGCCATTGCCTTTCTTTATCTTTTTTTCTATCACATTTGGTTATTCATCTCTTTTTCTCATTCCTGGACAAGAATGATACAGGTAACAGCAATATCACTACACTGAAGGGAGATGATTCAGCATCTGGAATTGTCTTGGGGTATCAGATATTTTATACGAATCCAAACACAAAATTCAATCCGCAGCACATAACAACTGAGCTTACATTCTTAGAAATATCTTTCTTCTAATATCAGGCTGTGTCATTATAGGTACAGGAAATCATATTAAATACTGTATATATAAATGATGATTTGTATCTCAATCCCTTATTTTTTTTCCAGATCTACACTTTTATTTGTGCCAGTTTCAGCCTTACTAAGGATATAAGTACAGATAGTCCCCTACTTCAGAACATTCTACTTATGAACATTCCATACATACAAACAAAAATTTTTAAGTACTAAAGTCCAAAAAATTGTTTGAAAGATGCTAGCAAACTTCACATTTCCCAGGCACGAATATAGTTCAAGAGTCTGGTACTGTAAAAGGTATGTCGTACTTACTGGGATTTATTTACAGGTATTCTTAATGTAAACAAAACTTCAAAACAATGGGAAAAAAGGTAATGGAGACCCGACTTTCGACATACAAACAAATCAACTTACAAACAGCCTCTCGGTCCCCATTATGTTCTCAAATTGGGGACTTACTGTATTTGCTAAACCCACTGCCTTTAAAACCATCATAATACCTACCTTAATTTAAGTGTTCTTATGAGATTAACTTTCTCTAGGTGAGTCATAGTAGTCCACCAATCTGTCCTTCCAAGTATCCGTAAGTCTGGAGTGTTTTGAAGTAAAAGCATTATTGTGTCACTTGATAAATCATGCTGCAATCCTATCCTCAGTTCCTCGAGTTTGCGTAGTCCATTTCTTCGCACTGCAAAATGCAACTGTAAATGGAAAAAAAAAAATCATTATTGTTTCAACTTAATGTACATAAACATTGCAACACTATAAAAGTAGAATCAACTGGAGTTTTCACTGATTTCACATACAATGCAAGTTGTGAAAACTTAAAAAGGATCTTTTTAAGAATTACTAAGATCTTACAATATATATAATAGACATTAAAGAGTAAGATAACTGCTTAAATCTTTGTTTCCTCAAATCTATACACCAGTTATAATCAACTTTACCATGAGATTCTCCAGGTAATTAGTGTATAAGGTTAAGCTTCGAAGCTGTTTGCACCATGCCAGTAGAACATCCAGGATATTCTGTAGCCCTTGCTCCCTCTGTCAAAGAAATAATTACATGACAAAAAGAAATAAAACCTGGAATACTACCAGACCATATTTAAGTAGCTTGATGATATTCACATTTTGTAAATTGTCAAATACAGATCCTATGATTTATTTATTCACTATACTTACTTAAAAAAGAATTTACTTTTTATTTGAAAAAAAAAAATAAATAAATAAAAAATAAATTAAATTTGCCTTTACCTCTATTCTCCCAAATTTTCCAATAAACAGGGAACCTTCATAATGAAGATGTGTCAATTTTGTGAATACTCTGACTCCATCCCAGGGAACATCACTCTCCTCATTCTGCGAGCCCAGTACCCAGAGGTGAGTCAGCTGCGGGAAACAGACTGACAGGCTCCCAAGGTGGTATGCATCCACACACGAGGGCTCAGTCAAGGTTACCTCTGTCACTACATTGCTGATAGGCATAGGATCGTCATTAATAGCAATCTGGGAATGGAGGAGAGACCACTCTAGACCACAAATGGTGACCTTTTTCAAGTGCTGTAAGCTGGTGAGGCCCTGGAAGGTGGATTCTGTCACTCCAACTCCACAATGTTGCATGATGATGTACTCTAACTCTGGGCATGCTTGGCATATATACTGAATGTTGTGTTCCTCAGGAGCAACATAGTACGATGTTCTGGGAAGTACAAGAGACTCAGACTTTAACATCAGGATGTCTTTTATGACCACGGCCTGCAGATCATATCCTCCCTCCACTATGGCATCCAATCTTCGCAGGGGTAGATTCTTCACAATCGATTTCACACCAACGTAAGTGAGCCAAGACTCACTGACATTCAGGTAATGAAGATTTTTCATTTTTAACAAGGCAGGGATGCAGTCTGTGAAATCAGTAATTTTTCCAAACTTTTCCAATGAGTTTGGATCTAAGCCAGAGTCAGTTAAGGCCCCATATTTTAAATCTAGATATATCAAGTGGGGACTGTTTGAAGCTAAACCCAGTAACAACTGGTTAATCTTACCACTTGGAATTTTAATATGATGTAAAGTCAGATGTCTCAGCATTGGCATCTTTGTCAAAGCAGAAGAGAGAAGTTCAAATTTACAGATGGAATACTTCCATACATTTTCTCTCTGGCTAATTAACATTCTTAGACTGGTTGCATGTGCTAAGGCCTTAAGGTATTTGGCTGGGTTTCTTGTTGGGAAAATGAACTTGTCGACATCTATCTGTGTTATGGATGGAGATAACAGCATCAGCGCCAACTCATCTATTATGTCCAAAACACAATTCTCCACAGCACAGTTTGTAATATTGTCAAATATTGGTGCTAGTTTATCAAGAAATTCTGCATGGAAATTGGGTGGGATTGATGTAAGCAAGTCCCTCAAGAAAGAAGCACATGGCTCAATGTCTTTGATATTTACAAAACGATACACAAGTTGCTGCAGAAACATAATACTCTTCTTTACAGAAAGAGACGCTAAGGTCTGAACACTATTTTCACAATCAGCCATGGTTAATGAGTTTTCTGGTCCCTCTCAAAGTACACAACAAAGAATGGAGTCTCTCTTTACATTATGGATGCACTTTACACTTATCCTTTACTTTATCCTCTTCCATGAACTTCTAGGATTTGATCAACAGTCTTTGCCAATTCATAATCTTTATTTATCTTTTCCAAATTTTTCTTTGTGTAAATCATTTAGTGTATCAAGTCTTATCATTCTTGAAAGGTATTCAGATTCATCCATTTTATTTAGCACAACTGGCTGGAATACAAAATTATGTCATTATAAATACAATAAGATCAAATAATGTTTATCAAGCACATAATGGTATTACAAAATAAAATGGTAACCAATCCTTAAAATATAACAAAACTGAACACAGAAATAAAAGCAAATAGCTCATGCTGTAAAGTAAGCCTAAAGCTCAATAATCATGAAGGGCTATGGAGTTTTTCATCTAAAATCTTTTTCACTTGATCAATTACACGTGGGTCAGTGAAAGCATCTATCAAGAGCTTTAGGTGAGAAAACTGAATTTCATCCGGCAGGCTATTGCATTTCTTTGCACTTTTCTCAGAATCTGTCTTCTTTTGCTCACAATTACTACTTGTTCCATAGTACTCTTCAAATAATAATTTTTCAACCCTGGTTATACTATAATTACGACACCATTCCTCATTTGTCCAGTCAAAAACACCAGTATGCACACATTCACTTTCTTTAGATTTTTCTTTTCCTTTTGTGTCTGTGTTCTGGAAGACTTTATGGACCAGGAGATTAAGAAGATCTGTAGAGGTCATAGTTGCCATATTAATCATATTAGGGTTAAATGCTGAGGATATCAGATCAACTGACTCAATACCCTGACACAGAGAGCCTATCTGGTGCATCACAATGGCTTCCTTTACTCTTTCTTCATCATCAGAAGGGAGCTCTATCCATGTATTTATACTCACAGCAAATTCTACATTTTCTACCGAGTGCCACCACTGATTTGGAACAAATAACACATCCCCAGCCTCAAGTGTAACTACATAAGGAGTGGTCGAGACCAATCTAGGGTGTGAAGAAGTATCAGGTCGAGGAAAGCCCACTTCACTGTATATACTTGACTCTTCATATGGCACACGTGTGGGTGAAAGGTATTCTGACTGAGACTTTGGAAACAGTACCCATCTCTTTTTCCCCATTACTTGAGCAACAAGATTACATCCATATGTGTCAATATGACATGGTGTATTAGCACCTGTGCTTCCTATCCATAGTGTACTATCAGTTAATCCCCTCTCAGTGAAACCAAATGTACCCCAGTCCATGGCTCCCAATAAGTGCTCTGGGTGCTCTAAATCTTTCATGTAAAAATAATCAAAATAGGCCCAATGTGTACTGCAGTTTACCTGAGACCCACATTGACTCAAACATGTTTTCTGACCTTTTATCCACTCTAAAAAGTCACAATATCTCATGGACAACTTCATGCACTCTGTCTCCCACTGTGGAGACTTTAGCTGGTCACCCTCCTTAACCCTTGCACCAACACGAAACATGAGGTTGTCATCCCCGAGGACTCTACCCCAGTCTTTGACCTCCCATTCTAAACACTTCCACTTTCCCTTAAGGTAGCCTTTGAACACTAAGGGTTCATTCACATCAAGCAAAATTGCTCTTCTAATCATCTGTGGATTCAGAAGACTTGTCCTTTCAGGGCAGAGTTCTTGAGAGCATTGCTGCCTTGCCTTCTTTACGAGCGGTTCTGCCATATCTTATACTTTGAACACCAATTTTATTTTTTCATATACAGGTTCCATCACCATACTGGTTCATCTGAAAAGACATAACATGAATTAAATAATGGACAGTGTTTCCATTCACCCTCCTTTTCTCCCTCTTCTTTTAATACTTACATTCATATAAACAGCAAATTTTAATTAATAAAACAATACTTTTAATCTATTCATTGCTGTTGAAGCCAAATACATTATATAATTACATAATATCACTACTATAAATAATTTTGAAATAATCTCTATCATTCATAACCTTCCTCTATTTCTTCATACACAAACACACACAAAAAGGCATAATACTTTATTATTAAGACTTTCTATTCACGCACTGTAATGTTATAACAGAGTCTGTTATAGTTGTGGGGCTCTGTGCATATTTATTATATCTTAATAATCTGCTAAATGTTTGCCACTGGCCTACATGTGGCCTACACATTTACCAGCATTCAGGTAAAGACCAACAACTTTATAACATATACATTTCAGAGGACAGAGTTTGTACACCTCTGTGCCTTTATCTTTAACGAAAGAACCAGTGTAAGCTCTAGCTTAACACAACATATAGAGAGGACCATTTTTATGTATTATGATGACCACTACCCACTATGCCACTATTCAGTTATTTATTTTGGAGGCCTTCCATCAAATATCACATGTTTCCACTTTCAGGAAACTTTTTACATTATCAGAATGTTATAAAAATAATATTCTTTAAATGCATTAATGCACTTTCCTGTGTCAGATCTAATTACTTTCCATCTCTGACACCATACCTACATCTATATACCTCTTTGTCATGGAACTTGTGGAAGGTAGCTTCATACTAATATTATCATGGTTGTGTCCTGACTGTAAACTTTTTTCAACCCAAACTGCAAAGATAATTTTTACATGTGCAGTGCTCTGTTATACTGGATATAGCTTCCCTTCACTTAATCCATTGCTACCGGGCATAGCATGTACGTATATGCCATGCCCACTGTGAGTTTACTTGTTTAATTGTTTTACCACATAGATTGCTACACTTGTACTGAATCACCAATGAGCCAGTTATAAGTACTGCCTGTCTCATTCACCCTTTTCATTGATTTACAAAAATATTTTACGTTATCTTATTTTGCTGTTACTAATGTTTATAACATTACAGTAATTATAATGTTTATAATAAAAATAACACCATCGATATTCATAGCACTAGTAAAAAATATGTTTTTCCTGCCAATTCAAGGAAAGGTAAAATCAGGTAAAGTCACAAGATCTACTAATTAACTCCTTTGTGGCTAAGCACTAGCAGAGCCATCTATGTACAAAGAACTTTCACAAAAATATAAAAAATGAGTACAGCATTTTCCCCATTCTTTTATTCATTTTCCCTGGTGGCAATGGGTTAAAGATAAGCTTCCAAAGAGAAGTCTTCATTTGCAGCTCTTGCTATATTCTGCCAACAAGCGAGCAACACAGCCTAGAAAATGTTATGATTAGCCAAGCATCTATTGGTTACTTTTCACAAACATTTAAAATATATCCTAAATGGTTCATGGTTAACTTTTAGAAGAAATAAATGTGACAGATATCAGAAGTGATATGGCACCATGATAAAATATTGTGGCAAAAAGGGTAAAAATGACTTAATGATTAGGATAAGATGTTAGATGTCAGAGGTTGTAGAATGCTGTAGGATAGAATGGTAGTGAAAAGTGTATAGAGGGGGAGCAAATGGAATATGGTGGGGATTCGTAAAAGGAGAAGGGGTTAAAAATATAGGGCAATCATATGTGTCTGAGGGAGAGTAACACTGTTTGAGGAAAACTGCAAAAGAGCCATTATAAAACAGTCAAAGGGTAGAATTGCTAGCTGTAGAAATAGGAGAAGGATATAAAGAATGACATAAGGGAACAGGTGAAGAAGGTGAAGTATCTGGAAGAATGGGTAAGGATCCAGAGGACACTGTAGGAGGAAAAGGTGTAGGGGGAACTTAAGGAGGAGGACGGATATCGGCAGATACTTTGAATGTAAAGCAAATAGGAAAAGAGGGTGGATGTATTCTTTTGGGTCATGTTTAGGAAGTTCAAGAGTTTCTGGAGGGGAGTTGGGTAGAGAGGTCTGAAAAACAAAGGTTTTCTTAAGGGAATAGATTAGAAAATAGATAGCCAAAGAGCAGAGGAAGAGGTGGGTGTAGGAGAAGATTTGGTAGAAGGTGGGGTGGAATGTTTAGATTGTTTGGTGGGACAGGTAACAGGTAAAGAGGAGGGGTAGGCACTGGGGAAGTGGTAGAGATTGAACTATCTGGATTTAGACTGGAAAAGGAATTTAACTGGGGGAGAGAGGGAGTAGAGATAAGATGGTTTGGGGATAGAGGGAAGAGATATTTGGCAAGATGCTGAGACTTCTTGAGAAGATGGGAGGGAAGCAGAGCAAAGTATAGTTTTGGAATAGGTAGAAAGAGAAAAACCTCTGTGGCATGTTTCTTGCCTGGCTTCATATAGAGTGAGGCCTAGTTTGAATCTGAGAACTGCTACCTCAGATTCCAGCTTGTAGGCAGGGCAGCTCTTATAAAATACATTATGGGAGCCACCACAATTGGCACACGAGCGTGACTAAGCAGAGCAATTTGAACGGTCATGACCAGGTTGGTCACACAGAGGGCAACTGGCTCGAGTGACAGTTTGGCTGGGTGGCCAAATCACAGGGCAGCACACTCCACCAATATAAACTTTGTTGGGGAGGTCATGTCTGTGGAAACAAATCTTGGTAATATTAGTGTAGCACATACATTGGCCTCTGGGAGTAACAGTATAGCACTTTACTGCTACTGCATGTGCGCAAGTCATTTTCACAGTCTGACCAGTCCTTGACATAGACAAGACTATCAGTGAGACGGAAATAGTTCTCACACAAGTATTAAGTGAGGAGTGAGGTTGGGTAGGAAGAGGTTTGCCAATAAGGTCAGTAGAGGTGGAAGCTGTAGAAGGATGAGGGCAGGAGTAAGAAGGGGTGGTATGGAGAGAGGTAGTACTGTTGGGAGAAGAACAATAAGGATGAAGAGTAGTAATATGGGGGGTGGGGCTAGACAATGAAGAAGACTGCGCAGTAGGAGATGGAGTGGAGGGTGTTAACCCCTTCCTGACAGGTGACGCCGATAGGTGTGAAAACAAACCACTTGAAAGGTGGCGTGTGGCTGTACGCCGCAGCGAGCCAGTGATTTGGGTTGATGTACCGAACTCATGCACTCAAAGTCGGCGCGCCACCATTGTTTGCCGGAACGTAGAGTTTTTTTTTTTTGTTTTTGTTTTCTTCACCCGTCACCAATGGGTTAAGAGAGAGAAAGGGGTGTATTCTGGTGGTTGATAGGCTAGTTGATGAAGGGGTAAGCTTTAATGCCCCTAATATGGGTTAAAAAATCTTCATTACCGGCCATGGCAAGCCTGAAACAAATGGGGAGAAGAAACGGTCTACCCCTCAAGATCCCCATGAGGGATAAGGGCTAGGCAATTAACCAAGGGAATACCGTGTCCATGGCTTGCTAAGGCCATTCATGACTGAGAAAAAGCCTGCCTTTCATCCTTTCAGCACGGCTCTCACACCTTAGGAAGTGGACAAAACAAGGGGATGAAGAAGATACGGAAAAGGAAAAGGGGAGAAGAAAAAAACATGCAATATTAGTTGAGGCAAAGACAGTGGTCCAAGGATGGGATGATTCCTTACACTGGGACACAGTCTCCACCTTACAAAGAGTAAGGGATTTGGGGGCGATATATCCTGAAAAGACCCACCCTGTTTTATATCGAATACACAAGTAATTTTAAGACTTTCTTCTCACATGTACACTATAAATTATTTGCAGAATTTGAGTTCGGTTGGGCTCACCTAACAATAATATTTACATTAGTGTCAAAACAAGATATAATTGGCCAATGGCAGTCACGTAAACAATACTAAAGTAAACAAGGATCTACGTAGCCTATCATGTCACTACATACACCAAACACTTCAATGCTAATGACAGCCATACAATTCATTCCACAGCAGACAAATTAACCCCATCACTTCACAACCAGTGACTTGCAGGTGGTTCTGATACGGCTGCAATGGCATTCACTGCAAGAGACACATGGCAGTGACAGCAGTATACAGGTGACCCTTAATTACGTACAGTTGACACGGGTGACTCAACGCATTATTACTGACACTTGACACCATTTTCACCTCATAGGATGTGGAGTTTGAGAGAGAAATAAAAAAAATGGCGCAGAGTGCAACAATCTGGACATCACTAAACGTCAAAGCTACAAAAAAAAGGGAAAAAAATCACTAAAAACAAACCAACTAAAAAGAACCTCCAACAAAGACATTTATTTCCCCTCCTCCTCTCTCTATCCTACCTTTTATTCCCCAAAACAAGCTTCCTTTTTTAACTCCCCGAAGCCTCAGATAAAAGGAAGGGGGCAGAGGTAGGCTGACTCAGTCTTTATAAACACCCCGAGATATTCTTAGGGTCTACAAGCCCTTCCATAAGAGCCAAAGTCCCTTGCCAGCCTCGACGTCGGCGCCATTCACTCCCTCTCGATTTGAAGCCTGAAGGTTCTTTGTCTTTTTTGGATGAAGCTCGTTTGCACATTTGGACTTTGCGTTAGTTATGATCTAGATATTTAGATAGGAATGCACATGTGTGTATAAATAGAGGACACACACACACACGAACACACACACACACACACACACACACACACACACACACACACACACACACACACACACACACACACACACACACACACACACACACACACACACACACACACACACACACACACACACACACACACACACACACACACACACACACACACACACACACACACACACACACCGTGTGTGTGTGTGTTTGTGTGTGAGGTGTGTGTATGTAAATATATATATATATATATATATATATATATATATATATATATATATATATATATGTGTGTGTGTGTGTGTGTGTGTGTGTGTGTGTGTGTGT